GCAGGGAGTGAGGGGTGAGGTTACTGCTGACCTGGGAGGTGTGACAGCATCCGTGCTAAGGGATGGGAGGATTTCATACCTGCTTTTTTCTTCTTAAGCTACGTGAATCTCAGGTCCTTCAAACCAAGGGTGTGGAAGGAAATCACCCTGTAATCATGTGTGAGCCTTTCACTGCAGTGTGTGCTGAGGGCTATGGGAAGGGGAGGAAGGCAACGGGTGTCTCCAGTTCATCATCATCTAATTCTGGGAGAGCATCGGGAAGATCTGGCTTTTCTTAATGACTTATCACGAGAAAAGCTCATGCCAGGGGTTAATTCTTCACCCCACGTTCCCCTCTGTGAGGGCAGAGGCTGGGAAAGCAGTCAGCTGCTTTTATTCTGTGGTCTTAATATAGAACAAAAGTGTAGTATTTTGTCCTAGATTTAACAGCTGGGGAAATAGAACTACTTTGGGTGGTAGGAGGTGCTGTCACATACGAGAGGACAGTTCCAGGACAGTTCAGGCTATCTGCTTACTTTAGTCACAGAAATATATTTAAATCATAGCCGTGGTGTGCTCTAATGGGAATGTAGAGCCTAAGTGAATTATTGATTATTTTGCACATTTGATAAGGAAGTCAGAAGACAAATGTCTAATATACAGAAATAGATTAGAAGCCTCCCATGGGTTGTAACAGAAGTGCAAGAGCAAGAAGGTCTTAAAATAGCCACCAGCTTTCATGTACCTGTACTGCAGGCACAAAAAGCCTTGAATTAGTGAAATACCTCAGGTGGAGACCCAGGGAGACGGGTCTGGTCCCTGTCTGGTAATTTTTTCTGCCCTGATGGCTCTCAGTTGCCAGAGTAAGTGCTAACTGCCCATAAGTAGCTGCCTGCCTTCATCTTCTTAGGTGAGTGTGGGAAGAAAATGTTCCAATTTAACATTAAAATCTCAGGCACCGTTTAAGGATTTAGGTATTCTCCAATCCCCAGTCTCTGGGGAGACTGTTCCCATGCCATTTTGCATTTATATTTCTGCACAGATAATTTCACTGATCCAAGGGCTGCTCGAAGGATTGCTGTAAAAGCTTTTTTTAAACCACAGAGAGCGCACATCTTTGGTAGTGGCTTTGTATGAGCGCCACCAAATTGTTTCCAGTCTTTGGCTCCTCACCTGTCTGGTTGGTGTGTGCTCGCTGACAGACGGACAAATGGATGGACCTGTGCTCTGTGTGAGAATGCAAACAGCTGAGCCAAAGCCTAATCCTCCCCCCAGCCTGTGACCTTTTTATTGGTACTTGCACCTGGCAGGAGCAGCAATCATTCATGTGTGTGGCCTCAGAAACAGCTGCAGATCTGACACTGTAGTTAAATTTAAAAAGGGTGATGCAGGCGTATGTGTGAGTGTGGCAAATTAACAAAATCAATCATTAGCCTGTCATAGACCAACTTTGAGACAAAAGAAAACAGGCTTTTAAGAGTAGCAGTCCAGGCTTGCAGTGAGTATGCCAGGTCTCTTCTGCTGAATACAACATGGCCTGTCTGTGCAGAAACATTTGCAGGACTGGGGCAGAGAGATCTGCGTCTGTAACCAGGGCTGTGGCTGCGGCCATGTGCAGACAAAGCCACAGCACCCTCGGAGCAGCTGCTTGGGAAGGGGCAGGGGCACGGGCTTCAGCGTAAGCTGTTGTCTGGCCAACAGCAAATGGATGAGCAGTCGCTGTAGCAGTTGTCTCATCCTCTGTGCTAGCGGTAGCTAAGTGAAATCTGGCTGAGGAGCTTCTACAGGGGCTGTGTCACGCACAAAACTGCAGCCGTTGACACTGTGAATCCTTCCCCAGCACAGAAATGCTGGTATTTTAGTCTAGCAGAGCAATTCCTAGCCTGGATCTAGCCATACGCTGTCCCTTGCCAC